CGGATCTTGTTATGTCTTGGGCAACTTATCCTTAAAATGATGCCACTCTATAACTTACATTCCCAAGTTCTGGAATTCAGGGCAGTGCCACGTGGTGGTGACCTAAGGTAGCATGCGAAGCCCCTGATGCAGGACCCTGTCTCCTGGGGGCACACTGATGCCAGCAGGTGGCTTCACTGGGGACCTAAGCCTCCTCAAATGCAATGTAAGGGCTTGGGCTGAATGATCTCTGCAATTCCATCCCATACTAACATTCTGTGACCCTAAGAAAATGACCCTGGCTGGCTTTGGAAAAGTGGCCACCTCACGTGTACTCACGCTCACACGGTGGTGAGAGCAAATCTCTGCTAGGATCAGCTGGACCTCTAAAGACCAGGAGCCACTGCGTGAGCTATAAATGCGTATAGACATAGTCTGAATGTTCGCCACATCCCATAACACTGAAAATAACACACTGGTACTTCAGAGGTAATTAGAAGAAGTGGGGGCCAAGTGTACAGCCCGCAGTTTCCTGGGCACGTCCGAGGGGCACTCCCCATCCCACTCTCAGCCTCGAGAGCCTCCCTCGTTCCTGTAGAAGTGGGGACTTCTGAGCGGGAAGGGGTCTTGCGGGTCGTTTAGTCAGGCGCCTCCATGTTCACACCGGGTCGGATAGAGGAGGGGCTCCCAGCGCCCCAGCTGGCAGGGGAGCGGGCACCAGGCACAGGCTGCCCACCCCACCTGTGACGCCCAGTCCACCCGGGCGGGTGGGACCCACTCTTCCCCACAGGGTAAAGGGCCGCAGCAGGTCTGGAGGGTCAGAGAGCCCTGGGGAGAGGGGAAGGCGGCCTCCACCCTGTCTGGTCCGGAAGGGCACGGGGATTCCACTGCTTTCCTAGTCACAGCGGCCATTAAAATGTGACCACCTTTTCATTAGAATCTGATACATTATCAATGTATGACTAACAAGCCAAAAAATGGACTCCATATTTACTTATTTCTATACTCCAAAAGAAACAGCTCTCTTAACGGTGTGTGAAGCAGTGGCCTCCCACTGCGTGGAGCCCTGGGGGGACACACAGACCACACCTCCTGGGACCCAGCACGCTCTAGAACAACAGTGTCTTTTCGTTCTGTTGTTTTCCTCAAGTCAGTTGTCTGCTTGCCTGCCCATGACCCACGCTCACGGCCTGGCAGAACAACAGGCCACAGCCAGGACTGGTACCGAGGGAGCCAAAAGCTGTGTCTCACACACTGCTTGGGACCACGGTGAGCAGGCCGTGGCTGCTGCTCCCACGCTGCACTCCACGGAGTTCTTCCGCCTCGGATTCTGGTCTGGAGGGTGGAGGGAAAACGCCCCAAGACTACACTTATTTTGGTCTGAGAAAGTCTTTTGGTCTCTAACTGTAGTATTATTGAGCATGAATTGTTTACAACAACCCGGCTCCATGGTGGTCAAATCCAGACCTAGTTTTCTGAAGTTCACATGGGAACAAAAGTGCAGCAGCAGAGCAGTAAGAACTGCCAGGTCCCTGGTGTCCACCGCAAGATTCTGTGGCCCCCAGTGGTGAGCACACGGGCCACACCTACTAGCAGGTGGTTCCTCCCCGTCTGCTGCCACGTGGCTTTGCTGGAGAACAGACGTAAAATAAAAACACAAAAGATGAAAGGAATATTCCCTCCTCGTCTCTTTAAACCTCTAACTTCTGTACCTCTTATTTAGAGCATGAACCTACACTTTAAAATAATGTTCTGGTAAAAGGCTTTACTTTATCACAAACACATTCTGCCTATTTGGTAGAATATTGGTCACAGGAGGACCTAACCCAGCTGACTCCGGGATTTCCTGTGGTTGGAATATTCAGGGAGGTGCTCAGCACCACATCAACGGTCCCTGGCCCACTTCCCAGGGCCCACTGCACACACGACCCGTTTCATTACCAGCCTCAGGTAAATGGCCTGAAAACACATGCCAGAGGTGGAATTCGGAGAGCCTGCTGTAGTGGTCCGAAACCAGAGGAGGCCGGTGCAGAGCAGGCCCTGAGACCTGCTGATGCTGCACAACAGTTCCCCCCCAACCCATCCATGTAATTAAGACTTAACTTTATTTCACATGTGTTTTGAAGGAGTTGAATACCAGTAACTGGAGAAGTTCTGCTGACCTGCAACGCTCCCTGGCCATTTGTGCTTCATCACCATATCCAGGTTCGCTGCTGTGGGTCACACGGCCTGGGCCAGCCCTGCGTGGTGGCAGCTGGGAAGCATGGCCGAGCCCTTTAGCAGCTGCATGGCCAGGGCTGATGGGTTCCCCTTGTCTATGCCCAGCTTTCTTCTACACATAGGCTGATGTCCTGGCATCTGCCCCGTGGGCCAGCACTCTGCAGTAAGACTGGCCCCGGGGAGCACACTGGGCTGTCCCCAGGCAGGGCCCATGCACACACACCCGCGTGGCTCCCATAAAGCCCCCTAACAGGGGCCAGGCCTGGGCCCCAGCCCCACATGACCAGTGAACCACAGAGGAGCAGCCCTCCTCCCACATCCCAGGGAGGGTCCCAGGCTCATGCGCCCCCGTCAGAACCCGAAGCGGGGGCAGCCTGCTGCCAGGTTCTCAGGGGCCCCCTCTCGGCTAGTCCTCAGTTCCCGTCATCCGTGTGGCTGTGAGGCTGGTGAGGAAGTACCCCATCAGTGTTCCCTCCTGGGGGAGCCGAGTGGGGAGATGAGAAAGGATCCGAGCATCACAGGGAGTCGTGTGGGCCGCAGCTCAGCAGTCAGAGGGGACGCAGGAGCTGCTGCGAGGTGCCGAAACAACAGAAAAAACCATTCCCTATTGGAGCAAATGGCTTGAAGTAGCCCTGAGGACTAGAGTGGGGAGGACTAACCAAGATCATGTCTATAACAAATTCAGTAGGAAGGTGAAGGGTTCCCAAAAATGTAGGCCACCATCCTGTTCCAAGTGCTCCTTCCCTGTGGTTTTAGAAAGAGGAGACGCCTCAGGCATCCGGATCCCCACCTCCATCGATTTCCTCCTCTTCCGAGGTCTTGAGGATAGGATGTACATCATAAGGGACAATTAAGAGAAAAATCATGAAATAGTAAGTCTTACCTGACCATGGTTTCTTCTTTGATTCAACTTTCAAAATGCTTCAAGGGATCACATGAGTTTTCTTGTTTTCAAACCATGACTTACAAATGTGTCTTGGGGTTGGGGCTTTGGGGGAACAGTGCTTCTGGCTGTCATCACTGGTGACTGTACGCAGCTGACAGCCCGGGGTCTAGAGGCCGATCACAAGCCGTGAATACAAAGATCAGAGGCCACAGAGTGAGAGGGAAGGACGGCTTTTACACTTTCAAAGATGCATTAGAACAAGAAGGCTTTGGGGCCTTAAAACATGAGACGCCAGGGGACCTGGTGTGCACTTGGGGTGGATCTTCTGCACTGTTCTGACTTCTCCTTTCCTCTGGCTGCTCTTCGGGAGCACGTGCACCCTCACACCGGGGAAATCGATTTATAGGAATAATTCAGGAAAGAGACAATATTTGTTTCATACAATTACTGACATTCTGTGACTAATACATGGCAAATTTGATTTGCTGGTGTTCTGAAGGATGTGTTAGATCCTGAAAAAGTGTTGTTTGGTGGGTGGGCCAGCGGGGGTGCTTTCTGTGACTGGCACATCAATGTCCAAACCCGTCTCACCAACAAAAGCCTCCATCAGGGGACAGCGCAGGAACCACAGGGTGAGCGTGGGGCTGGCAGGGCCTGACTCAATGCTTGGCCAGCATTTTCCACTCACCAGTGCACTTCATTTCCTCAGCTCACTAATAGGCTATAAAAATTCCCTTCCTCTGTTTTTTTAACCACAGAAACAATGAACAGATGTGAAAATGGCAGACAGTTAACCAAACCCAACCGAAGGGGGTGGAGGGAACACCTTTGGTTAGCAATGGCTGTTTCCTGTTTCCTATGTGTCACAGTATGCCTGGTAGCATCTACATGGCTCAGTGAAGACAGGTGCACGTCCAAAATACTCTCCGAGTGTTAAACAGAACACCTTACAGGTGAAACGTAAGAGTTTTATGTGATTTTTAACATAGCCTCCTTTTTTTTTGTTTGAAAGTTTTCCTAAATACATTTTTGGAATTGCATCTGGCACTCATTCGCACATTGATTCTACCAGCTCACCGAAACTTCCCTGCAGCTGTGAGTGGCAACGGGAGGTAACAGTGCTGAGTCTAATTCAACGCGGCAGCTTACACGCTGCGGTCACTGTGCCCCAGCCCGGCCCTGTTTCGTGTGGGCATTCGGTCGCTCTGTGCTCGCTCGGACCTGCTGAGTTCCATAAACAGGAATCACAGTTCATTAGGTCAAGTTTCTAAAGTTGTGCTGTGGTATTTCTGCAGCCCCCATATATCACGATAAGCTGTCTCTAAGGTAGAACATTCAAAATAACTCTTACTTCTGCCCAAACACGTGCTTCTGGTACCAAACGCCCAGTAGGCGGCACTCCCTGTGCATCCTCAAGAGCCCACGGCTGGCTTCCGAGCACCATCGCACAAACAGACAATTCAAAAGCAATTCCTGCACACATCTGCTTAAGAGTTGACGAGTAAAGTTCATGAACTCTTAGAAAGCCTGGTATTATGATTACTGTAATTATCATGCATCTGGCTGGGCCGTAAATAAATAGAGCCACTAAGATAAGGAGTCACTCTTAAAATTTGAAAGTAATGAAGAATTAATGTTTTACATTACACTTACCATATATGCTGGTTTGTTTTAAAATCAACTGAGGAAACTAGTTTCTAGCAAGTGTTTTAAATGGCGTCCTGTCCGCTCAGCACAGTCGTTCTCTTTATGGCAGCGCTCTCGGCAGGGCCGTGCGTGGGGTTTAAGGTTCTGTGGCCTGGAGAGTGGGCTCGGCTCTCGGTGAATTGCCCCATGCTGTTGCACCTATACTTCAAGTTCTAGCCACTTTTTTCTTTTCTTTCCTTTTTTGTCCTTTCTGTTGTTTTCTTTGCAGAAGACCATCAGATGAACTGTCACAATACTCGAATAGCGCAGGACCTGGAAAAGGGCGAAGCCAATACGGACGAGTACGACAACTATGATGAGCTCGTGGCCAAGTCCCTGCTGAACCTCGGCAAGATCGCCGAGGACGCGGCCTACCGGGCCAGGACCGAGTCGGAGATGAACAGCAACACGTCCAACAGCCTGGAGGACGACAGCGACAAGAGCGAGAGCCTGGGCCGCAAGGGCGAGCTGAGTCTGGACCTGGACAGCGACGTGGTCCGGGAGACCGTGGACTCCCTCAAGCTGCTGGCGCAGGGACACGGAGTGGTGCTCGCAGAAAACGCGATCGACAGGGGGTACGCGGACATGCCGGCGCAGCAGGACGGCCGGGGCCTGAACTACCTGATGCTGGGCAAGCCGGCCAACAACGGGCTGGCCGAGAAGGCGGTGGAGGCCAGCGACGAGGAGGTGTGCCTCAGCAGCCTAGAGTGTCTGCGCAGCCAGTGCTCCGACCTGGCCCGCCGGCTGAGCGAGGCCAGCCCGCAGGAGCGCAGCCCGCAGCCAGGCAGCGGCGGTCGCCCGCTCGGCCGGCAGGACGACGCCGCCCCGGGCCGGACGCCGGGCAGGAACTACTCGGACATGAACGAAACAACAGAAAAAACCATTCCCTATTGGAGCAAATGGCTTGAAGTAGCCCTGAGGACTAGAGTGGGGAGGACTAACCAAGATCATGTCTATAACAAATTCAGTAGGAAGGTGAAGGGTTCCCAAAAATGTAGGCCACCATCCTGTTCCAAGTGCTCCTTCCCTGTGGTTTTAGAAAGAGGAGACGCCTCAGGCATCCGGATCCCCACCTCCATCGATTTCCTCCTCTTCCGAGGTCTTGAGGATAGGATGTACATCATAAGGGACAATTAAGAGAAAAATCATGAAATAGTAAGTCTTACCTGACCATGGTTTCTTCTTTGATTCAACTTTCAAAATGCTTCAAGGGATCACATGAGTTTTCTTGTTTTCAAACCATGACTTACAAATGTGTCTTGGGGTTGGGGCTTTGGGGGAACAGTGCTTCTGGCTGTCATCACTGGTGACTGTACGCAGCTGACAGCCCGGGGTCTAGAGGCCGATCACAAGCCGTGAATACAAAGATCAGAGGCCACAGAGTGAGAGGGAAGGACGGCTTTTACACTTTCAAAGATGCATTAGAACAAGAAGGCTTTGGGGCCTTAAAACATGAGACGCCAGGGGACCTGGTGTGCACTTGGGGTGGATCTTCTGCACTGTTCTGACTTCTCCTTTCCTCTGGCTGCTCTTCGGGAGCACGTGCACCCTCACACCGGGGAAATCGATTTATAGGAATAATTCAGGAAAGAGACAATATTTGTTTCATACAATTACTGACATTCTGTGACTAATACATGGCAAATTTGATTTGCTGGTGTTCTGAAGGATGTGTTAGATCCTGAAAAAGTGTTGTTTGGTGGGTGGGCCAGCGGGGGTGCTTTCTGTGACTGGCACATCAATGTCCAAACCCGTCTCACCAACAAAAGCCTCCATCAGGGGACAGCGCAGGAACCACAGGGTGAGCGTGGGGCTGGCAGGGCCTGACTCAATGCTTGGCCAGCATTTTCCACTCACCAGTGCACTTCATTTCCTCAGCTCACTAATAGGCTATAAAAATTCCCTTCCTCTGTTTTTTTAACCACAGAAACAATGAACAGATGTGAAAATGGCAGACAGTTAACCAAACCCAACCGAAGGGGGTGGAGGGAACACCTTTGGTTAGCAATGGCTGTTTCCTGTTTCCTATGTGTCACAGTATGCCTGGTAGCATCTACATGGCTCAGTGAAGACAGGTGCACGTCCAAAATACTCTCCGAGTGTTAAACAGAACACCTTACAGGTGAAACGTAAGAGTTTTATGTGATTTTTAACATAGCCTCCTTTTTTTTTGTTTGAAAGTTTTCCTAAATACATTTTTGGAATTGCATCTGGCACTCATTCGCACATTGATTCTACCAGCTCACCGAAACTTCCCTGCAGCTGTGAGTGGCAACGGGAGGTAACAGTGCTGAGTCTAATTCAACGCGGCAGCTTACACGCTGCGGTCACTGTGCCCCAGCCCGGCCCTGTTTCGTGTGGGCATTCGGTCGCTCTGTGCTCGCTCGGACCTGCTGAGTTCCATAAACAGGAATCACAGTTCATTAGGTCAAGTTTCTAAAGTTGTGCTGTGGTATTTCTGCAGCCCCCATATATCACGATAAGCTGTCTCTAAGGTAGAACATTCAAAATAACTCTTACTTCTGCCCAAACACGTGCTTCTGGTACCAAACGCCCAGTAGGCGGCACTCCCTGTGCATCCTCAAGAGCCCACGGCTGGCTTCCGAGCACCATCGCACAAACAGACAATTCAAAAGCAATTCCTGCACACATCTGCTTAAGAGTTGACGAGTAAAGTTCATGAACTCTTAGAAAGCCTGGTATTATGATTACTGTAATTATCATGCATCTGGCTGGGCCGTAAATAAATAGAGTCACTAAGATAAGAAGTCACTCTTAAAATTTGAAAGTAATGAAGAATTAATGTTTTACATTACACTTACCATATATGCTGGTTTGTTTTAAAATCAACTGAGGAAACTAGTTTCTAGCAAGTGTTTTAAATGGCGTCCTGTCCGCTCAGCACAGTCGTTCTCTTTATGGCAGCGCTCTCGGCAGGGCCGTGCGTGGGGTTTAAGGTTCTGTGGCCTGGAGAGTGGGCTCGGCTCTCGGTGAATTGCCCCATGCTGTTGCACCTATACTTCAAGTTCTAGCCACTTTTTTCTTTTCTTTCCTTTTTTGTCCTTTCTGTTGTTTTCTTTGCAGAAGACCATCAGATGAACTGTCACAATACTCGAATAGCGCAGGACCTGGAAAAGGGCGAAGCCAATACGGACGAGTACGACAACTATGATGAGCTCGTGGCCAAGTCCCTGCTGAACCTCGGCAAGATCGCCGAGGACGCGGCCTACCGGGCCAGGACCGAGTCGGAGATGAACAGCAACACGTCCAACAGCCTGGAGGACGACAGCGACAAGAGCGAGAGCCTGGGCCGCAAGGGCGAGCTGAGTCTGGACCTGGACAGCGACGTGGTCCGGGAGACCGTGGACTCCCTCAAGCTGCTGGCGCAGGGACACGGAGTGGTGCTCGCAGAAAACGCGATCGACAGGGGGTACGCGGACATGCCGGCGCAGCAGGACGGCCGGGGCCTGAACTACCTGATGCTGGGCAAGCCGGCCAACAACGGGCTGGCCGAGAAGGCGGTGGAGGCCAGCGACGAGGAGGTGTGCCTCAGCAGCCTAGAGTGTCTGCGCAGCCAGTGCTCCGACCTGGCCCGCCGGCTGAGCGAGGCCAGCCCGCAGGAGCGCAGCCCGCAGCCAGGCAGCGGCGGTCGCCCGCTCGGCCGGCAGGACGACGCCGCCCCGGGCCGGACGCCGGGCAGGAACTACTCGGACATGATGAACCTCATGCGGCTGGAGGAGCAGCTGAGCCCCCGCTCGAGGGCCTTCTCCAGCTGCGCCCAGGAGGACGGGTACCTCGAGAGAGACGCGGACACCACCTCCGTGGCCTCGGACAGGTCGGAGGAAGTGTTCGACATGACCAAGGGGAACCTGACGCTCCTGGAGAAGGCCATTGCCCTGGAAACAGAGCGAGCAAAGGCCATGAGGGAGAAGATGGCGGTGGAGGCCGGGCGGCGGGACAGCGCGAGGCCCTATGAGGAGCAGTCGCCGAGGCAGCTCCCTGGGGAGGAGAGGAAGCCCAAGCCCAGCGACAGCCATGCCAAAAAGCCATACTATGGTAAAGGTAATATTTCTACCTAATGTAAGTTGCCGCATGAGAACACGCTAGAGGAGAGGATGTCAATTTTAGTCTGCACTTAAAGCGGGCGCCGCGTGAAGTGTACCACGTCTCCTAGAGTTGATTCCAGAATCATGCTTTGTGATCATGTTTCTGAAGAGTGAATCAGTGCTTGGCTGAGAGATACCCAGAGCAGCTCCATGTCCTATTATCAGAGCAGATGAATCACAGGGCATTTTGATGGGAAATGCATGCCTTGGAAAGACAGGGTGCAGCGCAGACACCCCGAGCGATGGGAAATGTCAGGGTGAGCCTGTGTACATGGCGTGGCAAGGGCTCAGGCAACAACCAGCCGATCAGGGATGAAGCACTCATTGTATAAACTGGACTGGGCAGGTGACAGCATAATTTATAAAATTATCACCAAATGACAGTTACTGATGAAATGCCCCCATAGAGAACATCCCTGATAGACACTGAACAGCATCAGAATGATCAGTAAGACATGACAGGGCAGGAGGTGCACATGACCTACCTCAAGACAGTGAGGGACGGGAGCCGTTTGCCATGCAAGGCCTGCTGAGGCCGAGACCAGTAGTAAGCTCTTCGGTGTGTCCACCCCCCTCACTGATCCCACTCACCGGGGACACAGGACAGCACTTGCTTAATGATAAGACACTGAGACGCACCCCAGTTGGGTAGTTTACACCTGATTGTAATTCACGACACGTTTGGGAATGTCTTTGCATATATCTGTACTCAACATATACCTACATAGTCACTATACCTAACATGCATGTAAACATGTTTCCAACCTGAATGATTGACTTCCTGTTTGCAGAAACAGCAGTGTCCACCGTCAGCATGAGGCTGGTGTGACAACCTCATGCGGGACTGTGGCCCTGTGGCTGTTCCAACTGCACGCTTAGCACTAAGTAAGGAGCAGTTTCAGCAATGGCCAGGGATTCCTCAAATTCTTCCCCATTAGCACCAAAATAGATCTTCTGTTTTGTATTTTATTCCTAGAACACCAAGTTTCCTCATGTGGGTCTGATAATGAGGGCTAAGAATTCAGTTTGAAAATCAGTTGCCGTATAAACTTCCAACGATCAGAAAACCCATTTTTTCTGTTGTGACAGGTGTGTATCCTCCTCTCAATGTATGCGCATAACTCCACAGCAAGGCGGGCGTCGTTGTAACCACGTCCCGATTGGAGACAAGCCTTAGCCGGAGGCCCGCTGGGCTCCAGAACTGGCAGGTGCTTGAGCCCTGGCCGCCGTGTCCATGACGGGGTGAGGGCTAGACCTCGCGGGGTGCCGCACGTGAAGAAGGGTGGCCGTGCCAGCAAGCAGGCCGCTCAGGGGAGTACCAGGCTCATTCTGGGCTGTTGTAAAGACTAAAAGCGTAGCGTGTAGGTCTATGACTGTAGTGAGATCTACTTGGTGTTTTTAGTTGGATATTTGAGAATCATACAGGAACTAAACATTTTCAGGAAGAAATAGTGTCCATCTCCTGGGATTGATTACCTGGATAAATGCACGTTAGGCTCCTGTCTCAGAATCCTGCAGTTTCGCAAGGGAGCTCTGAACCCTAGGGGCGCAGCAAGGACCTGCAGCAACATGGGCTCATTCGGTGTGGCAGGGTCTGTGCTGTCGCGGCTTCTGTGGCTCCTGTTGCTCCTTAGCCCAGCACCTTTCTGTAGTTTTTTGACCATTTTGTCTTCTTATAGTTGTTATTTCATTTTATTTTTATTTTTTGCAAGAGAGAAATTGCAACTGCTTGCTCCCCCTCAACAGATGGGGTGGCAGTGGGAAGAGCGGTGAGAGATGGACTTTGCCCTGAGGTGGGGAGGCCTGGGGACACGGACTTCCCGCCTCCCCCAGCCTCCCCAGGCCTTCCTCCTCCGACAACGCTCATCCCCGTTTCCTGTCAATGGGCCCACATCATTCCCAAGTCTCTTTTGGAGATGTACATTCAGAGCCAGTGAATAAAGCCAAGTGGGGCAGAGCTATTTAATGCCCTCCTTGTTTAAAAATGTAAAATGACCTCCTTGATAATTTCTGTACACAGCCAATGGACAATTCCTACAACCACGCAGCAGGTCAACCATCTCTAGCTTCTCTGTTACTTTATGAAAGATGGAGAGGACAGCACACCGATTCTCATTTATACACAATCTCCTCAAAGTGGTTTAATTGTAAACGAGTAACCTTTCCAAAGTCTGATCTAAGACAAAAGAAATTCATCACGAAACCCTCTATCTTTCGTCTCCTTGAACACCTACTTGGAAGGGGTGAGGGGAGCACGCGGCATCCGGCGCACCGCCCGGCTTCCAGCCCCGCTGCCAGGTCCGCGGCTGAGCTCTCAGCCCGCCTGCCTCCTTGGTGGGTCTGTGTCTGCTCCGATGCCTGCTGTCGGGGTGAAGTGGGATCGAGCAATAAGAGGGCAGAGGGGAGCTGGTGAAGGGGGGGCAGGGCCCACACATCGAGAGGAGAGACTACGCCCTGAGTGCCTCCCAAAAACCCACGCTCGGAGCCGTCTGTTTTTATACAGATCGACACCTGACTACACAACACTTTAGAAATCTGTGATATAATATAATTCCTTAGAAAATTGTAAGCGTACTAATGAAAAAGAGTCACTTAATGATTCATGATAATTATAACTTACTTTTTTTATCCTTTAAAAGTCAATTACACCTAGTTTATGACTTTAAGTTATATCACCATGTCGTTTTAAATTGTATAGCTATAAACTACATATAGTTTATGACCTTAAATAATCAATATCTTCTTCTGAAACTGTGTATTTACTATTTTATATTTACATTAATTAAATTATACCAATTTTTAGGTTTGTTTTCAGAGATTTTTAAGTATTGATAATGGTAGGAAGTAGCTGAAATCATGTCTAGGATATTCCCTTCACACCAGCCCGAGTTTAAGAGACCCCTGAACCTAGAGGACACATTACATAGATTACAATGCCAGGTAAAAAAGAAAGGGGTATGTAAACATGAAAGTGTTTATATAGTCCTTCCTTTGTATATTTCAAGTCACATGGATGACTTTAAAAAGTCCATAGAGTTCAAAAATATTAAACCAAATTTTTTTCTTGATCTAAAATGAATTCTTAAACATAAAACCTGTATTTTCTAGGAATCATGGTCAGCTTGATGAATGAACTTCCACCATAAAAGCACTAAACTCCTGAAGAGATGTCTGCGCAACTGGTTTTCAAAAACAGGCTCAAAAATTGTGTTTCACACATCATATTACTATTTGGTCTGAGCTTTATCTTAGAAATATTTTTTGGAGCTATTTTCTGCACACTTACAAACTGTGGTCAATTCTGGATATATAAATTGTTTTGTTAGCAATATCATTGCGCTCCTGGCACCTGGCAGCCACGTTTTGCCCCAGTGCCCCCTCTGCTGCCCCTTCGACGGGCGCAGCAGAGCGGGCAGGGCTGTAGGAAACCATCGCCTCCTGATTCCGCGCATGCGTGCATCGCACTCCGCGAGCCTTCCTCTGATTTCAAGCACAAATGAAGAAATCAAAACACATGGTTGCTCCAGCAGCTACTGACACGTTTTTGATTGTCCATCACCTCCGTCAGGTGGGGCTCCCACCATTTGGGCCATTTGCTTACAGTGCCTTCTGAGAGTTTAGCTCATTTTTAGAAAATCACTGAATTGGTACGTGACACAAAACAGTGTTGCAGAATAAATTTCAACACCAGCAAACTTTTGCACCTTAGCGAGTGTATACGACAAGAGCGCTCGGTAAGAAAGCTCTCCTGCTAAAGTGCGGTACGGCACTGTGTCCCCCAGCTGGGACGCCCTCAGCGACTGCAGTTCGGCTCTCTGAGAAGGTCACTGTCTCATCATTATTGACATTGATTTCTTTGAGCGACACAGCTTATCATGTAACACACGGGAAAACAATTGATCGAGAGTTAAGGTAGGGAGAGTCTTGTTTTCTTTAGTATAGAAAGTAAAATACTTTATGATTCATGATTACACTGCTGGAGGTTAAAAAAAAAAATCACCCCAAACCAAAGAACTAACTATGCAAAACTCTGATGTCACAGCCTGTCCCCTGACACCTGCTTTTTTTCTTTCTTTATCAAGGTCTCTTCAGATTGTTAAGTAATCATTTGTCTTCAATGGGTAAAAAAATTCATTCTCTTGACACCTGTTGTCGCTTTTAGATCCCTCGAGAGCAGAAAAGAAAGAGAGCAAGTGTCCAACCCCAGGGTGTGATGGAACTGGCCACGTTACCGGGCTTTATCCGCATCATCGCAGTTTGTCCGGGTGCCCGCACAAAGATAGGGTCCCTCCAGAAAGTAAGTCCGTGTTTCGCCAACCCCCTCGGAGCACACACCTGTGACTGTTTACATCATCCCACTCGCCTCTGTCATTTCCATCGGTGGTTCAGTGCACCCCTCCTGTCTCACGGGCAGCCCGGCTGGGAGCCGTCGCCGCCACGGCCCAGCTGCAGGGCTTCCCGGGCAGCGGCTCGCCACAAAGCCAGCTCCCAGCAGCAGGCCTCCTGTGTGGCTCGCTCTGCGACCTGAGCAAGGCCACCCCTTTCCTTGCATCTTGTTTTATAGGACGGAATTTAGGTAGAAAGAGACGCCCCTTCCAGCACTAAGTGGCTGTGAGTCCCTGAGGAAAGGAACCTTGTGCTCCTTTTACCCAATTACCTGGACTTCAGGATGTATCTGAACCAATATGTATATTTGTATTTTATTTGTAAAGTCTGTTTCACATCATGTTGTCCCAACATTTCTACACAATCAACCTTAAATAAGGAGGTTTAAGTCAGGTGGGCTTGGAGGTATGCATCCCTTTTAATTAGTTAAGTTCTGGGAGTATTTATGGAAACAAGTAAACTTCCTTGAGAGCTGAAATGATGCACACCTTTTTTATTTACCTTCTGTCAGCACACAGTGTGCCAACTCTTCAGCCACAGAGGAAGTGATTGCTCAGGAAGAAGAGGCATATTTCCAGCAATGACTATGAGTTTAAGACCCTGGATTTGAGTCTAGAGTACATTAAAGACTTTCCTCAGTATCCGAGGGACAGTTTCCAGTGGGGAAAATGTGGCAACTTGGCTGGAAATTTGGCGAGATGAGCAGCTGATTATTTAGAGGAACTTTAGAGGCTTGTCCCGTCCCGTGACAGTGCCTGACAGGAACATTCAAGGAGCAGCTGTTGGGACAAAGACAAGCTCATCGTGGTAGCTGAGACTTAGCAGGTTTAGCTCAATGGTTCAGGCGAAGTATTCTTAGAAATAATTGTGCCTCTGGGTTTTCAAATGGCTACTGAAAATAATAAACCCGTTTCTTATAACTATCTTGTGACCAAACTTTAGAGTCGTGAAAAGAGCCGCACCCGAGTGCGTGGCTGTGCCCGTGTGTTACATGAGCAGGGAAACAGCATGGTCTGTCCACAGCGGCTTCTGTCCCCCAGCACCTCCGTGCAGGCTCCCGGCCACACTCGGCAAACACGCCCTCATTTCCCCCCCACCGCGAGCCCCGCCGGGCCGTGCGGCCCCGCTTTTCAGATGAGGGAAGGAGGAGCAGCGCCCACCAGGCTTCTCTTCCCAGGGGTTAGCTCCGTGCCTGGGGAATGGAAGATGTTCAATTCTTCTTAAGCTATCTGAGCAGGTACTGACTTGCCCACGCAGGGAACCATGCTGAGACCCAGCTCCACGTCTGTCTGAGCCCCAGGCCTGTCTGTTTCCGCTGAGAACCGGGTCTGGCACCCAGTCTCCACCCTGACAGGCCACGGGGCCCGGGCATGTCACCCGCTGGCTGTGCTTCCTTTAGCTCCCCCACAAATGAGGCATCAGGACCAAGCGCTGATGTCTTCAGAAGGGAAAGCTTCTTTCTGCAATTTTTCTTTAAGGCCTATGTTTTCACCTTCAAAGCAGAATATCAGTTCTTCTCCGTGGCTGGGAAACTCTCCTGACCCCATATTTTCACAGGAAAAGTCTAAATGTGGCAGAAACAGGGACCGTGTTCTGACTAGTCACACACGCTGTTTGTGTGCGTACAGACCACGGGTCAAATCACACCTTCGCCCCTGGGGGGATGCCTCCCAGAGCAGCTATAGAAAATCGCGTCTAAATCTTTACTCATGCATAATTCTTTATAATTCCATAAAAATGGGAAAAATTAGGAACTGCACCGAAGGCCTTTGTTTTTAGTTTTACTTTTCCTGGGCCAGCTTCCCCTCATCACCCTTTCTGTCCAGTTGAATTTGATGAAGCATGCTGCACCTCCAGTGTGTTAGAAACGCAGACGGCACACCACGGAAAGAGACGCAAGGCCAGCCCTCCAAAAGCCCAGCCCCGCCCCCTAAAGGGGCGTGTGCATGAGCCGAAGTAAACAGAGTAAACAAGGCGCCAGATTAGGGAGGTTTGCACATGTGTGTAGAAAGCAGCAGGTGCACGGAAGTCAGAAGAACGGGGGTGGGGGCTTCTGGAAAGGTCCCATATATGAAGGGGATGCCCAAGAAAGAGTCCAAGACCGTGCTGGGCAAGGAGGCCAGGAGGAAGGACACAGAGGCCCTGGGTCTGTTGAGCCAAAGCCTCATCCTGTCACACACAGGGGTGAGCGGGGCCACAGTGGGGACGGAGCTGCGTGTGGGCCAGATGGGTGAGTGTGGGGCTGGGTGGCAGGGCCTGAAGACGCAGGGTCCCACAAAGACCCCATCTCCTGTGTGGGTCCCAGGTAGTGAAGGCTGGGAGTCCGAGTCCCCTTGGGGCAGGAGAGCCAGGTCTGGGCGATCTGAGATCTGTACTGTAGACAGCAGAAAGGTATCTGCTGTCTTCGGGAAAGACCTCATATCTGAACAGTTCAGCATAAAAGGAAAGGAAAGATGTGCATTGATTTGAGAGGGCCGCTGTGTCCTGGCAGGGTTTCTGTGGGAAAACAGAACTCAGCAGGAAGGTCGTAGCAAATGGGGCTCCGGAGGAAGGGAAGAGGGCACGTGGGGGCTCTGAAGCCTCAGGGGCCCTCCTCTGAGACAAGAGCTGCTCCCAGACCCCCCAGAGAGGGAGCCCCACTCCAGCCAGGCAGCCTGCACAAAGCAGCCCCAGCACCCCAGCCCCAAGGACCCCGTGTGCTGAGCAGCCATCCAGGAAGGCGACACAGGCTGGAACAGCCATCGTACTCCACCGGCCCAGGCTCGGCATCCAGGGAGCCGACCAGGAGCCAGATGTGTCCTCAAGGGGGACTGTGCCAGGTGGAAGGAGGGTTCAGAGAAAAGACAGAGCTTGCTCCTGAGATAGAGGAGGTTGTAGGAAACACAGGGAGCCCTAGAGTGGCCGACGTTGCCACACAAGCCAGCTCGCCACCTGGGAGGTGACCACGCTCAGAAACAGCTCCCGGCCTGCCTGCCACGCTGTCCTCCAGTTTGCAGGCAGCTGCACTGGGGTCAGGGTCCCAGCTCAAGACTCCTCAGCTGGAGTGGTGACGTGGTGCCCAGGCACCAGAAGGGAGGGCATGCCAGTGGCCAGCTGAAACGCCAGCCCGGCTCAGTCAGCTGGCTTCCTGGCACCCTGGATAGCGTCTCATGCTGCAAAGCACCTTTGATTCTAGACACTCTAGGTAAAGAATAAGAAAGCACTTAATTCCTGGGTGAAAAGTCATTATTTAATTCATTTTACTTAAAAATAAGGTTTGGAGCCCTCTATTAACCTGTGACCACCACACCTTCATAATACTGTGTTCCCAGAGCATAAGCATGTCCGCAAATACCCACTCCGCGTGCTGCCACACAGCTAATCGATACTTAGTGCTTATGCCGGGAGACATCCCCTGGCCCCCCCAGCCCACTGGGAACAACCCTGTTACCTCGCTCTCCACCCTCCACAGACCCGCCTGGCACACCCTGCTTTGCATGCCAGTCAGAGTGAGGGTGAGACAACATTCTTTCTCTTCCACATGTTGTTTTCCTGACCGTGCCCATCACAAATGTTTGTAGGACTGTCATAAACTAACCCAGCCTTTGTTTAAATGATTGCATATTCTATCTGGACTGTTTCTGTGTTTTAACACTGGGCTGTTTTCTCTGCCTCTCCTCGTCAAGTTCTTGCCATGCATGAAAATGTTCTCAAGTGTCCTACTCCGGGCTGCACAGGGCGAGGGCATGTAAATAGCAACAGGAACTCACACAGAAGGTAAGCAAAGGGCTCCTGCATCCCAGCGCTGCGGGAAGGAGGTCTCCCCCCGGGGATCCCCGCCTCCTGAGGGAGGGCGCCCCTGCACTCCTCTCCTTCCCGCCCACGATGGTGGCCTTCAGGGGCTGAAGGGTCTGCACATAGTGCGTGGAAAAGCTGAACCCCGCGAGTCCTTGCGGATTACATTTTAGTCATCTGACTGTTGCCCTGATCCTGATGAGCAGCAGTTCCCTAGGTGCCAACCTTGGTGACACCTAGGACGGAACCAGGACTGCTTGCCATGACTGGAAGGGATGCAGTAAAGACTCAGTTATCCCCGGGGCTCAAGGGGTGCTCTCCTGTGCACGCCACACAGAATGGGGATTGAAACACAGCTGCATGGGACGTGACTTAACCTTGAAACCCTGATGAAACCCACGGTCATCAGTGTGGACATTGCCAGCTGACATGCCAGCTGATGTCCTCAAGGTCAGGTTGGGGAGCCTGGGGCATGGCAGTGAGCCACGTAAACAGACTTTTCCTGGACTCTTACTGAGATAAGCACGCTTTCTCTTTTCCTCTCCTAATCAGATATTTACTGAGTTGCTCATCATATGCAGTTTATATCACATCCTTTTTTTTCAGTAGCCGAAAAATGTGTTAAAAGTTTCCTTATGGCCTGAAGTCTCACCTTCACAAGCTCATGTAAAATTACATCTAAATGGAGGAAACCATCAAGAGTTTCATTTTAATTTTTACTTGTTAGTAAATTTGGTTGCTAGTGTTAAGTTTATAATGGAAAAATTTACAGCTCTGTGCCCTCAGAGGAATTAGCGGGCTCTATCTGCAGATGGGGGCGATCAATAGCTTGCTCAGCACACATCTCCCATATCAGCTCCTTTGTCTCAGCTCAGGCAGCCTGTGTTTTTGAGACATTGTGTTTACGCAGAGTATATGCTTCTGTGTACACACAGACACATCAGGAACAGACACCACGATTTCATGAATAAGCTCAAACCCAAAGCCAATCAGTGAGCTCTTCCATCGGTATTTAGTTCCAAAAACCGTTTTACTGCCATCCTTGACTCGCCCACTTTCGGCCTTTTCAGTCTCCTTTCCTGGGAGGATACAGACAAGCTGATTGGTGACAAGCACTTCACCCAGTAGCTCGGGTGACCAGAGCGTGTCTGCCGGTACCCATCAGAGAGCTGCCCTTCTGGGCTTTTTAGACATGCGTCCCATCCAAACCATCAGTTCCTCATGTCCAGAAATGGTGAACATCCCACAGGGGGGTCCATGTCCAAAGTTCAGCTCATGTTCCCTTGAATGACATGGAATTTGGCTTGCTATCATTGCAAAGGCACAG